TAATTCATGGCTGTGGAACAACTGAAATTCAAGTGTTAGCTTCACTATGAAAATTACAGCACCTCCGACAAGCTAACACCAGTTAACTGTAGCCTTAGCTGTCATCAGTACAAATGTAGGATGAAAGCAAAGCTGGCTTTGAATATTAAACAGCTACTTCTCCTCCTTACGTGGCTCTTGGGTCTTTGGGAGTTTGGGTTGTTGAAGACTGGTGGGTCTCCCCCCAGCATGACACCAGACAAAAATCTGATAAGTCTCAACATGATCACTCAGTTCATTAACTGAGGTAAAGTGCTATGATACATGCATATGTATATGTAATTTATAAGGAATATTGTAGCATATGTCAATATACAGTGCTTGACTATATGTCATAAAACAAGCATTTCTCCAAGCATGACATCCCAGTGTATTTCAGACCCAGCAACACGCTCAGACAGAAACTGGTTCACCCGAAAGACAAAACGCCAAAACACAAACTTAACAATGTGGTGTACGCTGTACAGTGCAGCGAGGAATGCTCAGACCTCTACATTGGAGAGACCAAACAGCCACTTCACAAGCGCATGGCACAACACAGAAGAGCCACCTCCACAGGACAAGACTCAGCAGTCCATCTGCATCTTAAGGTCAAAGGTCACTCTTTCGAGGATGCCAATGTTCACATTTTGGACAGAGAGGACAGATGGTTTGAAAGAGGAGTGAAAGAATCCATCTATGTCCACTGTGAGCGATCATCTTTGAACAGAGGCGGGGGTTTACGACACCAACTCTCTGCCATCTATAATCCAGTTTTGAGTTCCCTTCCCAGACGCCTTAACGCCCACTCACATCCTGGACCATCTGACCTCAGGAATTCGCATGATAAGGTGGGGCCAGGTTTCACAATGAACACACCCGAAACTCTGGCTGATTGGGACCCACGCCCAGTTTCACACCTTGGCTCAGGCGATTAGAGGATCATCAGGGGGTCCTTTTGTCCCTCTGTGGGGGGAAACTCCCACTAGGTTTATATCTGGGACTCTCCACCATTTGACCTTAGAACTGAAGAAGCTTCTCGGATGAGAGGTGAAACGTCTTCAAGCAACTTAAAGAAGTCCAGACGCTTTGCTTCGCAAGCTCCTTAGACTACGATGACCTGGATGACTGAGGACCTTCACAGACACGTCATAAAACAAGACAACATCAGTAATTTAAGTATATTTGAGAAAATTACATCATTATCTTTTAAGCAAATTACAAAATTCATGTTCTTAAACCCAAAGCCAGGAAAGACTTCTCTGATCAGTCAGAAATTAATCACCAATTAAAATCAACCACCAACCCCAATTCTTCTGCAGTTAAAGAAGCGTAATTTGGTATAAATTGAATCATTTGCTTTGCCATTTTTTCAGCTTATCTTTTAAAACAGTACATTTGAAAGTTGTTGGATACAATTTGATTATAGAGTTTGTACGATGTGAACCATAAAAAAAACATAAAAATGATTTTGGTAATGATAAGTAGCATTAATTTAGGGCATCTGTGGCATAAACCTCACAATGAGTGGTGGTCTCATAAATTTTTCAAGCATTGTATGTTTATTTATCATCTTTAAAAAAGTTAATGGAAAAATGGTGACACCAAATATTAACCTTTTTTATAAAACAACAACACATACCACACAGATAATCTGCTGAGCTGCTCTTTAAAAGTTTCTGCCAGGGTGGATGATTTACCATATTGGTAAATGTAACTTCACGTGTATTAACCACCAGGGAGAATATCCTACTTTGTATTGGGACTGCTTCCATCTGCAGTGACTTATACGTATTTGGTGGTGTGACTGTTTTGGGGATCTTCAATTCGTCACATCCACATATAAAATGCATAAGGCAAGGGTAACACAGCTCCATACCCATCCACATACACCGAATGCTGCAGGGCATGAGACCAGCTGAGAGAAGACCCAGAAAACAGAAAGAATGAATGAAAACAGAAATGACCTTGATTAGGGTTGTGAAAAAAGAGGTGAGGTTAGGGTGGGTTGCAAAGTAACTTGCAGATGCACAGAACTGTGTGCAGGATAAATCAGCTTAAACAGTAGTGCCAAGCATTAGTAGATGTTGACTGGCAGTGAGGGCAGCTGATGTCTCTGGATAATGGCAAAGCCTGACTTTGGGGCCTACCTGAGCTACCATCATGACAGACTTATACCATCAAGCTTTCTTCTTCTTCTCTTCCTTCCCCAAAACTGTAATAAGCGTCTGCTGAGATTTCTTTAATGCCACAGAGCTAGAAGCGACATACATGACAGATGCTCCATCTGCTGTATGCTGAGTCCCAATCCTCACCTCCATCCAAACACCTCTACCACATCCACGCTGTGCACCTCCGTTCTTATTTTACCAGAAGCATGACATACACATTTTTCAAGTTAACTTTATTTGTTCAGCCTTTCTTATCACATTGTCAAAGGGTTCCTCAGCGCCCACATCATGGAACAATGAATGCATGCAGCGACCTTTCGACTGTCAATGAGCAAGAAATACTCCCCCTAAAACCATGGATGAAAAAATAAGTAAGCGTGTGAGAGACAGTTTATCCGTGCAAGAAAGAGAGAAAGTGTCATGGTCCTGGATCGGTGACCCAGAGTTTTGTGTTTCATTTTGATATCATCTTGTGTTTTGTGTTGATTCTTATTTTGTATTAGTTCTTAAGGTTTTAGTGTTCTCCCTTCTGTGCTCTGTTCATGCCTCTGAGTTTGTGTTTGTAAAACAGTTTGTGAGTTTCCTGTTTTACTTTGAAGGTCTGTGTCTCGTCGTGTCTAATTAGGTTCAGCTGTGTTCCCCTCTGGTGTGTCAGTCCCTCACTACATTACATAATTCTGGCTACAAGCATGGCCAATAGGTCTTTATATAGAAAACTTACTTAAAACTTAACAAATGTCTTCCTCTGATCCCTCCTGTGTGATTTCTTTATTTGAATAACTCGTAGCATTGCTTTGTCCAAAATTATATAATTGAGACATTTTTGTTATTGTTACCAATGCTAATCAAAACCTGTTAAGATTGATACATAAGAATGATACAGTGTGAGCAGATAATTGCGCTGAGCACTGTCCTTTTTGGAAAATGCACTGGATGCTCGTTCTTATTTTCTTATCTAACCATGTGAGTTAGGTAAGAGGATTATTGCTGCTGTTATGTTTGTATGGAGACAGAGCCAGGATGTAATTAGCTTAGCTTACCATGATGATTTGAAACTGCATTAAACACCTGCACGTGACCACCGGCTAGCTAAGTAACAGTCGTTTTTTGTTCTACACAGACTGTCTAAATATACTTTTTTTTCATGGCCTTCTCGCCTCCGTGTCTGCGTGTCTTCTTCTACATATATTTGCCTTATTAATGCAAAAACGGTGATGTGTTGACTGGAAAGGTCAAATAAAAATGTAAAACACAAAGATATTTTTTGAGGGTTGACCCCACACAACCTTCATAAAACAATGGGCTGATTCCTGTACAAAAAATTAAAGGGCTTAGCTTTATTTAGCAAACACCCTGCTGGCTCCAACATCCTAAATGATATTACTTTTTTAATGCAACTTTCTGCAAAGAGAAAATATTAGAACATTTTCAAGTTAGAATAAAATGTTTTAGTCGTTTAAAAAGTGCCGCTCAAAAGCGAAAGTCCTTGAAAAGGTCTTTATCAAACATTCATCTTTCTTGTCTTTGACGTGTAAGTGACTTTTTGGACTGAACTTTACTTTTGAGCATCAATAATGATTTGTGACGATGAGCTACACAGACATATGAGAATACTTGATCCCCCGTAGCTGCTTTTAGAATAATGGTCCATACGAGTTATGATCAGTGTTGCAAAACCCCATTATATACTGTTTATAATATCAATGTGTCTTTACCTACTGAGTATACAGATGGATAAAAAACTTTGTAAAATACATTATATTTCATCATGTGCATGTAAATCTTAATTCTAAGGCATGAAAAACTTAAAAACTCCTTTGTCCCACACGCCATCAAACTGTTTAACTCCTCTCTGGAGGGGAGAGGGAGGGGAAACAGGAGGACAAAGGAGGGGGGAACAACTAAGCTGTAGTGCCTCTTCACCTCACTGTACAATACCTTGTGCAATACTTTTTGTAAATAGTCAACAGTGCAATAGACTCAATACTTGAAATGTGCAATTCACTTGTATTTTTATTTTTTATTCCTATTTATTCTATTTATCCCCTTTGTATATTTTATTTATATTTGTCTCTGTATTTATATATGTGTGTGTGTGTGTGTGTGTGTGTGTGTGTATTATATATATATATATATAACAATTCTGTAACTGTAACTTCGGTCGTTGCTGTGCTTTTTGGAAGTCGAATTTCCCAGAGGACCCACCCGAGGGATTAATAAAGTTCTATCTTATCTTATCTTATCTTATCTGAAAACCACAATAAAGCAAAAGAAATTGCCACTGAATTAATAGAGAAAAAAAAAGATAAATCTTATTTGAAGCAACTGGATGAAGTTGAGTTTCAGGCAGTAACCCGTTTCCCTGTGGGGGTTTTAATCCCAACTTTAATCTAGATTACATCCACATCTGTCATGTCCCTGCGTGCCTCCACAACCTTCTTGGACCCCACGGTGCTGCAGGCAACTCTTCTCAGTAAAAGAACTCTGAGAGGTCCAAAGGCCACAGCGGGATTAAACAGAGTAGATGAGGACAGATTTGTTCCAGACACGAAGATCAACAATAACCAGAGACCGCTGTCTTAAAAACAAGAGACGCTCTTCCACAGTGCTGTAATTGTGCGCATGAAAACGAGAAGGTGATGTAAGAAGCGGATTGCCACAGAATTCACAGAATACTTCTCTGTCTGGCAGCGGCAGCTGTTTCTGTTTCTTCTTCTCAGAGTAAATGTTCAGCAGTAGGACTCTGATTGAGCATCCCAGATGAGCAGAGATTAGACCATCGCACCAAGGAAAAAAAATACAGACCAGAAAACGGATTTTTCTCAGATTACTAGGAGAGCTTTTATTTGGAGCGTTGCAAAGTACATTTCATGGTTTTAGTGCTCACTCTCTCTCACTCACGCTCGTCTTCATTCAAATAAAAACACCTTTTTTTCCTCCATGTCCGTTTCTTTTGTCACTGATTTAGAAACATTTGGAATAATTATGCAATTTCTTAATCGTTTACCTGGAGTTTATATTTGAGAATGGAGAAACCATTTCAGTCCAAGCATAGAAATATACACAAGAGAGATGAATCGTATCATATATGAGACAATCAATTTGCTATAGCATGGCTTCAAGCTAGTATACAGTACGAAACACACTGAGGTCATACTGTAGGCAACAAATTAAAAAGTAATGAGAATGAAACTAAAAGTTGCAGTCAGTATTTTCACAGTGGGAGGAAAAGCAACTTTGGATTGAATATTGCATGTTTATGGACGCAGCCGTTTACTAATATTGCTGCAGAGGCTTTCTGGTCGGACAAAATCATCCGATTTAAAGGGTTGTGTGTCTCTCAGCGCAGACACTTTTACTCCTTATGAAATCCTTGAAGAGCAAAAGAAATGCGTAATGTTTGCTTAATCTCTTTTTATCCAAACAATGCAGATGCCCTCAGAGCTGTGTAGATAGTGAGGCCTTTTGGAAACAGTACTTTCATCGTATACTGCACAGTCACATCTTAGAGGTCAGTCTGTGCAAATGCAGCTCAGAAAGCTGCTGCCGGAAGGCTGTGATTATTATTTCCAGCAGCTTCGCCACCTTTCCCTAACAGAGCCAGAGATTCCAGCGAGTGCACATTATCATTGTCTAGATGCATTTTAGGTGGAGCCGAGTTCTCACCGCCTCCTTCACCTCCCGCCTCCTGTGGCTCCCCACTGGCAGCAGCAGCTGCAGCGGCAGCCACGCACTCCTCTTTGAACAATCGGTCATGCTCCATCTTGAGCTCTTGGTAGGAGCGGGAGAACATGTGGAAGATGGAAGTAGCAGGGAAGGCCATGATGAGAATGCCACTGAGGATGCTGCTCAGTGCTACCACCTGTCCCGGAATGGATCTGGGCACCATATCGCCATATCCCACTGTCGTCATGGAGATAATGGCCCACCAGTAGGAGGCGGGAATGCTGGTGAAGTCATGGGTACCTGTGAGCTCGCTCTCAGCCAAGTGCACCAGCGGGGAGAAGAGGGTGACAGCGACGCAGAGAAAAAGCAACAGAAGGCCAAACTCCCGGGTGCTGCGTCGCACCGTCAGCCCCAGCGTCTGCAGGCCGAGAGAGTGGCGAGCCAGCCTCATCACGTAGAGAATTCTCAGCGCTCGCAGGATCCTCAAAACCAGGCCTAGCTTGTCCAGGTAGCCCTTACCTCCTCCCGGCCTCTCGTGTTCCAGCTCTGGGTCTTTCTCTGTCACCACCAAGGAAACGTAGTAGGGCAGGATGGCCATAGCGTCGATGATGTTGAGCGGCCCGCGGAGAAAGTCCAGCTTGCTCTGAGCTTGAATGAACCGCAAGATGAACTCCAGGGAGAACCAGGCCACACACACCGTCTCTATGATGAACATGTTGTAGCACTTAGATGAACACTCGCCCTGAGGTGGAAGAGAAGGCAAGGCAGAGAAATCGAGGATAAGAGAAGCGAGAATTGACAGGGAGTAAGACAGATGGTGAGAAAAGCACAGGGAGAAGATTCAGAGGTCAGATAATCGTCTTTGGTATTCATTAATTAATCATAAGTTACATTCGGTCAGCATACTAAAGCCACTGCAGCTGCACTGGTGGGTTATAAAGTGATGTGATCGATCAATTATTGCATTTGGGAAGACCTCAAGGATTAATCCTCCATGGGAGTGGCGACAAAACGCAATCAAACTTGTGTGCCCTCCAACGACAGTGTCAACGAAGAGCAATGCAATAATAAAAAACTCCTCTAAAAGAATAGTGGGAGTGGGGTGTGTGTGTGTACATGACACTGCTGCTGACTGACCCTCGTTTTCACACACTTGTGCCATCACGCAGATATATTCCTCGCAGCCAGGACAGCTCTTTGTCATGTGACTTTGAATATATGTTGTTCTGAGTATTTGCTACAATGTTTCTCTTAGAAGCGCAGTTTCTTCAGGCAACACTTTGTTGTCGGTTTCTGACTGTAGTAAGTGAGAAATATGCTAAAGTATCCCCTCTGTGAAGAGGAGACTTTGCGCCCCGATGATGGGGAATCATCAGTTTTTCATAATGTTATGAGTTATTTGGTTTTTACACAGGCTGAATGTGAGACCGCATTATTAAGACAGACACTGTTTATGTCTTCTCTGTGACACTCCTTTCATCAGCCTCCCCCCCATTTCTCCCCACGTTTCCCATTGCTCACTCTCTGCTTTTATCTGCACTGTCTCATTCATTTCCCTTCTATCTCACAACTTTTTTATCCTCCTGCAAGCCTCTCCTTCATCCCTCTGCCTCCATCTCCACCTTCTCATCATTTATTCTTCTTTCCTCCTGTATCGCCCTCTTCGAACTCCCTCCCCTCTCATTCTTCATTCTGTGCTCGCCCCTCACACTGCTCTCCTTCTGCATTAAAGCCTGCATTCATTCATTCATTCAGCGTTCCACTAAGTGAAGTTTCCCTATGCGTTGTATCCGTCATACACACATACATCTGTTTACTTCGTGTTGCATATCACTTGTGTCCTCTCTGCCTTTTTCACTCTTTTTAATCCCACTGTGATGTTTTGCCTTTTTGCTTCATTCCTGCAGAGTGGCTCTGCATATTTTGTAATGCTGGTGCAGGAATATGTGTGCTAAGATATTGTGACTTTCAAAGATGTTCCTTTGTGCAGGTTGCATCATGCAGTGATGCTAGCAGTGATAATAGCAGCGTTTATCCAGTCTATAAAGGAGGACAGTCTCTCAGCTCTCTGGCATGAATCTTAGTTCTTCAAAGTTCAGGACAAATTTGTCTTGGTGAGACACTTTTTAGGTTTTATGCTCTACAATCTACATTTGAACAGGTCTTAATATTAACTGTTTAAATGCTTTTGAAAAGGATTAATTTTATTTGATTGTATTGTGTTAATGTTTTATATATAAGGCCTTTCATGGCAGATGTAGTTCTTTTGATCATTATTTTTAATGGACAAATATTCATTAAGTAACTTCATGTTGCTTTAGATTTACATCCAGTACGACTTGCATACTGTAGCATAATGCAGCATCAGCTTCTTTCAAGGCTTCGCTGAGTTTTATGGTGTTTACACCCAGTAAAATATTCAAACCCAAGATTCCACATCTTTCACTTGCTGCATGGAAATAAAATTAAGCCTGACCTCTTTGCTATCTTATGGTAGGAACTGACCCCCACTGTGATGAAACTGTAAGCCTAAAACAATATGTATGAGGCTTCATGTCTCCCAGGTGGCTTAAAGTCTCTATGTGACTATAAGAAGTAAAAAAAGCTCTCTGTTAACTGAAGACATCGATTAAAATCGATCAGTCTTTTGTTTTCCAATTTTAGACTAGTAATTAAAGATTTCAGTCACTGTCTCAGTTTAGCTTTTGATATTTGCTAATTGCACCAAACGGCTTTCTAAATGTGAGGATTTCTAGGAAAGAAATGATGTAAAAGTTGCTGAACATGATTCAAAAACAGATGAATAAACTTTAGTCCCGACAATCGTGATAAACATGAACCTTTAATGGTTCCTAGAAGGAGGAGCAGGGCAGAAACACATTTAGTGTATCATTAACATCAGTGTGGTTAATATGTTAGCCAAGACATCCTAGTTTCCACATGCAGCAGGCAACATGATGGCTTACAGCTTTCTTTTGGTTTCTCAGCAAAATCACAAAAACTCTTTGTTTTATTTTGGCCTTTGAGTCGACAGCGACATCGCTCTTAAGCTGGTCATTGCATCATAATGTTTCTGAGAATTTATGATGTATTTAACATCTCATGTTAAAATGTATTCAATAAAGCTGCAGCCCGCACAGTTAAAAGTAGAACCACGATGGCTATATATGATTTCTCCAGAGGTCTGAAGGACTCATTGCTTGATATTTTTGTTGAACTAAAGGAAAAGACACACCACAGCAAATCATTACCTAAATATTAACTGAATATAAACCTTTAAATTTCTCAGTTTCAGGACATTCATCGTGTTTTTTCTGTCTGATGTCTAACTCTGTGGTCTCCCTGCATGAATCTTTAAGGCACTTTCTGTCACAGTGTAGATGTTCTGTCTGACACAAGCACCATCCTCTCCTCGCGGCTCTTTCTTTCTCAGGCCTATCGCAGCTTTGTGCTCTCGCTCTCTGCAGAATAGACCATTTGTTAGAGCTCCAAGCCTTCTACTTCTGTTTCTCTGCCTTTCAACTACAGACACAATTGTGCACACAATAACCTCCCACAATACTAACTATCTCCCTGACCTTATCTCCTCCGAATGACTCTGTGGAACTAATGCCAGCAACAGCACATTTCAGCACAGACACCATTCACCCCACAGCTGTCTCATAGGGGGTCTCGTTTTATCATCTGCATTAACACATCCCAATGTCAAATTAAGACAAAGACTGCAGTGGGGGCAACGAACACTGAGGCATTCTCATGGCAAGGACATTTAAAATGAGCAAAGAGGAAAATACATTATTATTATTATTATTAGTATTATTGCAGCTTTCCTTATATTTTGGAGATAAAAATGGTATTTCTACAGAATCCCGCAGATATGTGGGGCATAAATCAACTCGAAGTAAATGAATAAAAAGAACTCAATGACAAAATGAACAATATGTATGACGCAAAAAAATTCTACCCAAAGGTCGAGCTGATCTGAACTGAGTTGCTATTTTGCACTAGATGTGTGTTTTACAAAATAAACACATGCATGACAATATTGATCATTATATTTTGGCTGAAGTGCCCTAAAAGCAGCCCTGCACTCAGCCAGAGCTCATTATATGTGATCACATCCACACCTTACAGTTTAAGTATTAACTAAAATGTTTAATACTTATGTATGATGACGCTATTTTGAAAACGTAAAGTATGCATCTTAGGCAACTTGAGATACTACACTTGCTATGTAATACATTATTTTGGTATTACAATGTGAACACAGTGTGGAGAAAAAGGTTTCAGCTGAAAATGTCTGTGTGACCTTGACAATTGTCCTTGTTTTGAATACGGCAATAACAAGGAGAAGCCAGATGCTACAATATTAATATATATAAGCATAAAACTATCACAGCATTACAACCTATACAAGCTAAAGAGAGCAGCCCAGAACAGAGTCCGTTGGCATGGTGTTGTTGCGGACCTATGCTCCCCCAGGAGTCAACAGGAAAATTGATTGAACCTATAAAAAGTGATCCAAGCTAATGTCTGCTGACCCTTCAGCATAGCTGCTTTTCTGCATGACGGTTTTTCTGTCGTCTCTCTAAATAAACATCTGGCTTTAACTGCGTAATTTTGACGACTTGCAATGTGCTACACGGTGTTTGTGTTCATGGTTAAGCAGACGGTCAGAAACATTCAATCAGCTCGTGATGGTGTTTTTCTCGTTCTGACCCCCGCACTGGTTCATCGCCATCATACTGTTACTGTTGTGTCAGCATCAGTTGAGCTTTATATTAATGTTGGCAGCTTAGCATCTACCCTGTGCAGTCAGACAGCTACTGGCTGTGGGGTCGCTCCGTGTACCGTGGGTTTGAAGTGTAAATGTGTGTCTCTATTGTTGGACAAGAGAAAGCTTCTATATCTCTGAATTATGAATGTTTTTTTTCACGTGTGGATCAAATAAAGCTGCACATTTTCACTGTGTTCAAAAGATAATTAGGACAACTCTTCGCAACTGTCATGCTGCTACAGCAACTCAGGAATGTTTGCTTTTCTAACCACTGCATGATTATAAACTGTGGTTCATTCTCTGACTCCTTCACAGTATGTCCGTATAACTCTTCATTCCTCTTTCTTCTACATCTCTTGGGGCTCCTTCTCCCACGATGATTCTGCAGTCCTGCATATCAAGAGGTACAGTTGGAAATGGGAGCAAAAGCAAAGATTCTGCCCATCAGTCAGCTTTACTGTGCAGCAGACCTTGAACAAACTTTGCACCACTAAACACTTTTCCTCTATGCTGCTTTACTGACCTTGCCCTCACTTTGAACGCTCTAAAGAAAAGCTGAATAAAGGAGTGTGTGGATGGACAGCGAGGACAACCACAAAAGACACGCAGCTGTCCTTAACCTGGAACTGCCAACATCGAGCAATGTGTTCACTAGTCATATGGACACGCACGCATGCACACTGGGTAGAATATGCCGTGTGGACTATATGCACCCATTGAATTACAAGAATCCTTGAGATATATTGTAATAAATAAGAGCCTCAAACAGCGAGCTATTCTCTATAGAGTACGACTCCTTACACTGAGCACCTTACCACGGACATTTGTGTCAGCATAGAGTTGCACGGTTTTATCTTCATATGAAGTAGCTGTAAAGCCTTCAGAGTTATCCATCACTGATAAAGACCAAGAGATTGTTCATGCATGAAAACCCCAATAGAGAAAAATGAAAGTGAGAAGGTGGC